TACAAACACCATGACCAGTTTAGTAATTTTAAGTGTTCATGGTGCCTGGAGTCTGTACACACCGAGTATAACCCCCTGACTGCTCGGACGTGAATACCGATTAGGTATTGCTGCCTAGGAACACCTCTAGTGGCACAGACTCAGACAGCCACAAGACGTGTTTCCTAGTCCAGTGGTGCTCGGTGTGCAGCATGGGCATTCAGCATCTCCCTGCCCCGTATGGAGGCGCTGAACGTACCCCATAATGATGCAGTGATTCAATTAATCTCTATGAGGAGATGCTGAATGGTGTAGTATGGCCTCTTGCCTTCCAATTCTTTCCTTTCATTATTACACAGTAAGGAATACATGGGGTGGGTGGTAGCATCGTTTTACACAGCCATGTTACAGTGCTGTCATTCCCCTCCCCCCCATGTGTTCCCTATTAATGGTAATAAGTATGTAGGAGTTTGGGAAACTACCCCTCTCTGTTTCATTAGAGATATTACCTATCAGCTGAAAGCAGCAAGGGAAATTGTTAGCATAGCATAGATTTTGCCTTGATATGGCAAGTGAGCTTACCCTTGAATAAAGTTTGGAATATCCTTGGATAGTAAAACACATCCAGTTATTGAAATATGCTTAGAGATTTGGGATAGTGCGCATGTGACTTTTTCTTAGGCCTATAATATCAAATGTTCTCTTCCTTTTTGTCGCCTTATTTGAGCTTTATTTAATTTTTATATGAAATCCAATACAGTTACAGGAGAGTTTGTACACACTCATATTGTCCCTTTAACCAAACCTGGTAAACCTGCAATGATTCAGACCCACATCATTGCTAAATTGGTTACTAAAATCTGTGCAAAACATTTGGCGAGCCACATAATCGACTTACTTCCAGCCATTTTGCACCCAGAGCAAGTGGGTTTTGTACTGTCCAGGCAACCATTGGATAATAACAGAAAATTCAAAAACATTTTGCATCATTCTCGAAGGGAGTCTCGCTCTTGTCTGCAATTCCCCCTTGATGCCGAAAAGGTGTTAGGCCGGGTCCATTGGGACATATGTGGGAGGGTTTGGGTAGGTTTGCTTCACAGTATCATTCGTGGAAGTAGTGAAATTATTGTATCCAACAGCATCTGTCAGACAGTTGGTTTTTCTTTCCTCTTTCCTTTAAGCTTTCTAAAGGATCCAATCAGGAATGTCCTTTACCGCCACTTTAATATGATTTGGCTTTAGAACCATTGGCCATTGATATATGTTCCAACCCCTCGATCTGTGGATACCCTATCTCCACGTCATTCTCTCATGTCTTGTGTTAATCTACTGATGACAACATGGTGGCCCTGACTGAGCCTATTAACTCTCTCCCAAAAATGCACGCTACCTTGTTTATTTTCGGCAGGATATCCTATCACAAAGTAAATCTCTCTAAATCCCAAGCTTTGCCAATAGGACTTCCTGGTGATGTGGTGTCCCAGCTTCAACTATTGTATCAATATGAATGGAAGGATGATTTTTTTTTGACATACCTAGGTATACAAACTCCAGTGAACATGCATTCTATTTTTACACTCAATTTGGAAAAAAACTGGTACGTAATACAAATGGACCTTATGAGATGGAGACAATACGAGTTGTCTTGTTTAGGCAGGATATATTAGTGTTGACTGATATCCCCAAGATATTATAATTATTGTGCACAATCCCACTATAGATCATGGAATCCATGCTTACAAATGTACAAAAAAGGATTAAACAAATTTTTGGACTACTGTAAACCTAAGAGAATCCCCCGAAGTTCTATGTACTGACCTAGGTCGGCAGCAGGAAAACTATATCTTCCATGCATACACTCTTACAACAAAGCTTCCATTTTAACCCACTGTATCTCAGCTCATGTAAATCCCTGGAGAATTAGCCTTTTATTTAAATAACGGGGCAAGACAGGACTACCCTACACTCCCTTTTGCCTCGCTCCAAATATTTCCTACAAGTGTGGGGTGTCCAGGCCCATAAAAGCCCATGTATTTCCAATCTTACTAGTGGCACACTGATGACTTATTTATAAAGATGCATCCCTAACTTCTCCTTGCAGGGCTGGGTAACAAATGGTGTATGAGTGCTGGGAGATATCCACAGAGGTTCAGTAATGAAACCCCCAAAAAGAGTTTGATAAATATCTCCAGATATACATTTTTATTTTAGTTCAGTATAGCACATATCTCAGAGCTTTTACTTCTGAAACATAAGCATGTACTTGCCAGACATTGTATAACAGAGTGCTATGTATTACTCATAAAATGTGCTCAGAAACGGTGCAAACCTAATGGTCACACTAACATGAGCATCTATGTGGTCTTACTCATGATGTGTCACATCTAGAACTGCTACATACAATAGTCTTGCAATGGCACTTAGTCCCATCACGACTGGCTCATGTGGCAATATCTCAGACGGCAATATCTCATATGGCCTTATGATAGTATAATTAAGGGCTTATAGGTGTACACAGCATATATTTGGGTAGCTGTTCTAAAATACTTCCACTTTGGAAGGCAGTTTTTAATCGAATTCTCCAGGTGTTAATCCCTCATCAACCTGAAATTGCCCTACTACACATTCCTGGATATACTTAATTGTCCATTAAAAATGTTCTCATCATGTGTTTTTGTCCACTAAACAGGCTCTAGCAAGTAATTGGAGAGTCCTTGAAGTACCTACCCTGGCGTAAGTACTCAATATTCTGTCTAATTATAATCATTGGGGGAAAAAATTGATAATTCAATGGGGGAAACAATGAGGTTGTAAGATAGGAAATGGATAATATGAGAGGAGTGTTCTGGGGATTCTCAGAAAATAGCAATGGTCCACTTGATATAGGAATACCGATTTATGACCAGAGATAAAATGCAAATGAAAAGTCCTGTTTTTCTTAACTTCTTCACATTGTTCTATTGTGCTCTTCTTCTCTCTCTTAATATTCTTCTTGGGTTCTCTTGCTTTTTCATTTTTTGTTTTTGACACTTTTTATTTTATTCTCCTCTAAAATGATATATCCACCGTGACGGTCTATAGAAGTGGATCAGTGAATGTTCATAGAATTAAGGCAATGTGTGTTCTTTATTTCTTTTGAATCCATGATGTATTGTATCATTTATTTTTTTTTTTGTAAATCTTTCTTTTATTATGGCATATGCGTTATGGGGTACAGAATAGAAAAAGGAGATATTGTGGGGGTAACACACGTTAATGATAGCAAGATGGTTAGTAATACACTCCAAAGAAGGACTGCCATATTTTTTGTTTTTAAAACTCCAGTACACATAGTGATACAAGCTTGGTTAATTGAAATAAAATAAAATAAATGAGTGATGCTTAACAGTTAGCTGAGCAGGTCAAACAATATCCTGACGACATAGCGCATCCTTTTTCTGTATTAAGCAATTAGTCTATTCTTTGGTTTGCTTATCCATTCTAGGGCACGTGAAACGGAGGCAGCGTCATGTTTGTTCAAAGGAGCTATACATCGCATAACTGGTACAGAGCACTAAAGTGTCCTGCCCTTTTGATGAACTAGCAACCAGTGCAAGATTTGTCTAACATGTCAGGTGGCATATATGGGAGTCGATATCGATTGTATAAAGCTAGGTCCTAGACATGCTGCTCTAAACGACAATATAGGTCATGAAACATGCTTTCGGTAATGGTTACAGCTCATATTGAGTTATAGTAAACTAGCAGGGCCAACAAAGCTGCCTGGGCTATTGGAATGGTCGCATGGCTAATATTGGTCCCACATGTTAAAGTTAAGGTAGGCTGCCCTTCTATTTAGTGCAACATGCCGATGGAATACAGTACAGTTATAGCGTTGGTTGCAAAGGTAACTATTAAAAGGTAGCAATTAAAAGCATAGCGTGTAATGGATTAACTCGAGATTCGCAGATCTCCATATTTCAGTGCATATCTATAACAACTTTCAAGACATATATCCTTCCGGGCACGCAGGCCCACGATGTTGTCGGACTCGCAGGACCCATTCGTTATACCCTCATCCTCCCTGTACTTGGGTGTCATTTTTGTTTTTGCACAGTTACCCACTTATTCAGCTTCTACCTATTATTACTGGTGTTGCGTTTGGGTCTCTCTATACATTGTGCCCTTGTGTGTTCTTTGTGTTTAGAGGTTGTGGGGCCTTGCGGTATTATTTGTCGCTGCTGACCTTAGTCTGCTGGTGCCAGTTCGTCCTATGGGTTATATGTCCTTGTTACACCTCCTGGGTTTTGGGGTGCATTGATTTAGTCACTCTACTGTTATCTCGTTCGTGGGCCTATACCTCTTCACTGGGCGCACATCTAGTGCCTCGTGGGTGTGGAGGGTAGGTATATGTGAGGAAGGAGGGATTGGGTTAGTCTTCTGTCTCTTTATCAGTCAAGTGAGTGTTGTCCAGAGGTCTGTCTTGTATTAGCGTTTGGAAGTCAGGTTTTGTAGATGTCAGGATCCAGTGTGTCCATATGTCAAGGTAGGTCTGCTGTTGCGGTCCGGCCGCATTCATGGTGAGCTCTTCTATGGCCCGTAGTTCTTCCATTTGGGTGAACCATTTGTGTATGGACGGGGTCTCTTTTTTCTTCCAGAACTGTGGAATGGTCTGTTTTGCTATATTAAGAATCCGAATCGTGAGCGATTTTTTGTATTTAGAGGTAGGGGTTGTCGTGTGATGGAGCAGCATGGCTGCTGGTTCCCTAGGTGGTGGGTTATCTGAGAATCGGGATAAGATTTTGTGAATGATGCACCAGAAGGGTTGTATTAATTCACATTCCCACCATATGTGTATGTGTGTTCCCGTTGCCTTGGCACATCTCCAACAAAGGCGGCTCTCGTTTGCGTGTATGTGGTGTATCGTGGCAGGTGTGCGATACCACTGTGTTAGCAGTTTGTAAGCTGTTTCTTGGCTTTTGCTGAACACAGAACAATGGTGTATGATAGTGCATATTTTTTCCCATTCCTGAGAGCTGAATGTTTGGTTGAGAGCCTCCTCCCATTTACCCATGAATTTTGGCGCTTCCCACGGGGTCTGTGAGTTAAGGAGGGAGTATATATGTGCCACTCCATGTGGTAATGGATCTGGGTCTGTGCATATCTTTTCAAAGACAGTGAGGTCTCTGCCAAGAGCCGCCCCTTGCGGGAGGAGCCTTATGTAGCTGCGGAGTTGTTCGTATCTAAAGTGTGTTAGGAAGGGCCTGGGGTTCTCCCTGCTCAGTTCTGTTAAGTCTGTCAGCCCTCGGCTAGTGCATACGTGTCTCAATCGTGGCAATGGGTCTTCTACCAGGGTTTGGAGGGCCCTCGGGTCTAACCCCGGCAGGAAGTCCTTGTTGTATGTAAGTGGCAGCAAAGGGGATGGGTACATGGAGAGGGCGTGCTTCCCTATGCTTCTGCGCCACACCGATAGTGTCGCTTTGGTGTAGGTGGAGTACTGACTCTCCCCCCCGTCACCTCTCGCAGGGAGCCATGGAAGAAGGGCGGCGGGGACGCCCGCCTCCCTCTCCTCCGCCGTTTTCCACAGCTTAATGACCCCCGGTTTAGACCATTCGACGACGCGTTGTAAATGACACGCCTTGTAATATAGCGAAAAGTCTGGTAGGGCTAGGCCCCCTTTGTTTTTGGATTTTGTAAGGAGAGAGAACTTCAGTCTGGGTCTCCTCCCATCCCATACGTAAGCCCCCACTGCCCTCCTGAGTGTTGTGAAAAAGGAAGTCGGGATTGCTATGGGCAAAGCTTGGAAAAGATATAGTAGTCTTGGCAGGAAATTCATCTTCACCACTTGCACTCTACCCAGCCAGGAGATGTGTGGGAAGGCCCAGTCACCCATGTCTTTCCGAAATTGTAGGAGTATCGGGGCGAAGTTGGATGTATATAGGTTCGCTGCTTTAACCGTTAGCCACGTGCCTAAGTAGCGTATTTTATCTGTAGCCCATTGGAAGGCATGACTCTGATGGAGCTGGGTAGCCCTCTGTGTAGGGATGCTTATATTTAGAATATAGGATTTGGAGTAGTTGATTTTCAGACCAGATAGCTCTCCGAACCTCTGGAATGCCTGTACTAGGTTGGGTAAGGAGACCTCGGGGTGGGTTATAAAGAACAGGAGGTCGTCCGCATATGCGGCTATTTTGTGTTGTGTGTCTCCTGTGCGTATTCCCTGAATGTCCGGGTGGCATCTAATGTTCTGCAGGAAGGGCTCTAGAGCCAGGACAAACAGCAGGGGGGACAGAGGGCAGCCCTGACGTGTGCCGTTATAGATTGGGAAGGCCTCCGTAAGTGCTCCATTGACTAGAACGTGTGCCGTCGGCTGGGAGTAGAGGGCTCTAATCCATCCCTGGAGGTGTGTGCCCATGCCCATGTGAGCCAGTGTCTGGAACATGTATTCCCAACAGACCCTGTCAAAGACCTTCTCCGCGTCTGTGGACAGCAGGAGAAGGCCCGTGTTATCCCTCGTCTTCCTGTGCATAAGTGTGAGTGCTCGAATGGTATTGTCTCTGGCCTCCCGACCCATCACAAATCCTACCTGGTCTGCGTGAACCAGCCTAGGTATGTGTGTCTGAAGTCTGGTTGCCAGGACTTTTGCCAATAATTTGAGGTCAGTATTTATGAGGGATATCGGTCGATAGCTCCCGCAGTGCTCTCGATCTTTGCCTTCTTTAGGAAGTATGGTGATATGTGCCGTTAGTGTCTGTTTGGGGATGTCGTGTACTTCCCGGATTGCGTTGAACATCTCTAGTAGTGGGGGGTATAAAGTTTCCGCAAACCTCTTATAGTATTTAATGGGTAAACCGTCCGGGCCCGGACTTCTCCCTGGTTTGGTGTTTTTAATCGCGAGTGCCAACTCCTCTGGGGTGACGGGCTCCTCTAACTGATCTGCTTCTTCCGTTGTCAGGGAGTGGAGTGTGTGAGACCTAAGATATTCGTCAATAGAGTTACGGAGCTTTTGGGCTTGGGTTTCGGTTTGCGGCCTTGGCAGAGAATATAGCTCTGAGTAATATGCCCGAATAATCTCCTGTATCTTAGTGGGGTGCCTGTGAAGAATCCCCCCTTTATCTCTTATGCGGTCAATGTATGTGTCTTGTCTTCTTTTGTTAAGCATGCGCGCCAGAAGCTTCCCGCTCTTATTGCCATGTACGGCAAAGAATGCCTTATGGCGCAATACATCTCTATGGTGTTGGGACTGTAAAAGTGTAGTCAGTTCCCTCCTTAAGCAGAGGAGCGTAGCTCGGTGTGTGGGTAGTTGGAGTCTCTTGTTGAGGGTGTCTAGTTGTTGTATGTCTGACAGTAATGTGGTCATACGCGCTTCCCTTTGTTTTTTCAAGTGCGCGCTCTTTTGAATAAAATGTCCTCTAATTACGCTCTTGTGTGCTTCCCATCGTATGGTGGGGGAGGTCTGATCACTGTTGTTTGTAAAGTATTCTTTTAGTGTTGCATCTATCTCTATTGTCACTTCTGGCCTTGCCAGTAGGGCTTCGTTTAATCTCCATTTGGAGATCTTGGGTTTAAATAGGGGTGATTTCAGTGTGATGAGCACCGGCGCATGGTCTGACCATGTCGCAGTGCCCTGATTGGCGTGAAGCACCAGTGGTAGGTGGTATTGTGACAGAAAGAGATAGTCAATTCGAGTGTAGGAGTTATGTGGGTGAGAGTAGAAGGTATAATCCCTCTCGTCCGGGTGCATTGCCCTCCAGCAGTCCACCATTTTTTCTTTTGTCAGTAAGTTCCTAATTGCCTGAAGGTGTTGTGCGGGGATGTGTGAGTGTCCCAGTGAGGAGTCCCATTTAGGGTCCAGAGCTATATTTAAGTCTCCCCCCAAAATCAACACGCCCTCTTTGAAGCTCCTAAGGGTGCGAAGCATCCGGGCTATGAATTGATACTGCCTTTGATTTGGGACATAAATGTTAGCGAGAGTGTATTGTGTGCCCGCTATCTCCCCCTTAACGAAGGTATAACGTCCTTCCGGGTCTGTCAGCACTCCAGTCTCTTTAAACGGGATGCGTTTGTGGAGGAGAATCGCTGTGCCCCTGGACTTCCCCCCCTGAAAATCGCTGTAGTAACCCACTGGGTAGTGTTGGTTTGTCAGTGTGGGCCTGGACCCTTCTCTGAAGTGTGTCTCCTGTAGATACACTATGGATGCTTTATGGGCTAGGAATTCTCTCATGGCTCCCGATCGTTTTTCAGGTTTGTTTAGGCCCCTAGCGTTGAGAGAAAGGACCGTGATGGGAGCTGGGGCAATTGACTTGGGCGGCATCGTTTTGTCAAATGTGTGTGTAATCTGTCGCGTCTGTCAAGCAGTCGAGGGTTAGGTTGGGGGGGTAGGGAAGCGTGGGGTAACCAGTGAAGGGAAATTTACGGGCTGTGAAGCCCAGTCCCTGTTTCGGTATGGAGTCGCTACGTGTAGCGATATCGGATATGAGCGACGGAGGGCAGTATTTCTCCCGCCCGCCTGGGGACAAGGGGAGTACCGCTCACCTATATCTTGTCGCCTAGTCCGGTAGGGTGGTCAAGGGAGTCCAAGAATTCCCAAGTGGGCGGAGCCCAGAGGACCAAGTGCGCTCGCAGTTCGGTCGTCGCTGACCACTGTGATCTCTCGGGACTCTACTCAGTCAGGATCTTCCGTCTCCCCGGCTGACGGCTCGGTCTATCTAAATTGTAGCTCAAGTGTTAACCTCACCTAAGAACAACATCGTTAGCTTAAACATATGTGAAAATCATAACATAAACATGGTACAACATTACCCTCATGTATCCACTCTGTGCAGGTCGGTTGTTGACCTGTCTCCCCCCCCCCCTCGCGACCTCCCCCACCCCCTCTGACTCGGGAAAGCTTTTCAACAAACATTTGAACCGTATCAAATATTGTGGCGAAAAAAAAAAAAAAAGGGGGGGAGTTTCATATTTGGCTATAATACGCATTTGCGTTAACGTTTACGCAGCTGTTGGACAAAGCAAACATTAAACTGTATCAGTCGTGTGCGGTGTAACCCCTCTCCCCCCCTGCCCCTAGGAGTCAGAGCCTCTCGTATGGCCTGTGTCCCCCCGTTTCTCGACTACACCCCTACCCTCCAGCCCCCAAATTCCATCAATACTTGCTGTATGAAGGGGCAAGATGGAGTCCACATCTAGGCATTGCGCCCGGGGTTCATCGTTGTTCCCACAGATCCGGGGCTGATATGCCTGTATTGTTCGGTAGTGGTGGGTGCAAGGGGAGAGAGAGAGAAAAAAAAAATGGAAAAGGGGGGGAAAAGTCTAAATATTCAGAGCTTCTGTCTTGTCGCTGGAGTCGGCATTACTGTCTTCTGCGGTAAAGGAGGCCAAAGCGGGGAGGGATCCACGGTCCTCAGTTAGGCGTCCCTGCCGGTCTAATCGTCTGAGTGCGAGGGGTTCTTATTCTTTGGGGTCGGGGGCCTGTGCCTTGCTGCCTGGGGCCAGAGGCGTAGAAGCTTAATGGGTTCGGCCACGTGATGGTCTCCGGCGGTAGGTGTAGGTCTCTCTGGAGCGCCAGGACGTCTTCTTCCCCTGCAACCATAAAGGGGCCGCCGGGCGTTGCCACTTGTAGGCCCGTAGGGAAGCACCAGCGGTACCTGACGTTAGCTGCCTGCAGTTGTCTCGTAAGGGGCCTCATCGCTCTCCTGTATGTCAGCGTAGCCGGGGAGAGATCTGGGAACAGCTGGACCTCCGCGCCTTCCACCAATATTTTATCTGTGCCTCTGGCCTTGCGGAGGATCTCCTCCTTCAGGGGGAAGCTCTCCAGACAGCATATTATGTCCCGGGCAGGGCCCTCAGGGGGTCCCGGAGGCCTCAGCGCTCGGTGCGCTCGCACGAAGCCTATGGGTGTCTGAAGTGGCCGGACCAGTAATTTGTTGAATAAGTCCATAAGTGTGTCTGGGATTGGCGTTCTCTTGTCCAGTTCTTCAGGCACTCCCCTTACACGGATATTCTGCCTCCTGCCTCTGTTATCTAAATCCTCTACATGTAGTGCCATTTGCTGTAGCACTTTATTGTGATGGTGTAGTCTGTCTGTGTTCGCTGACTGGGCGGCAGACATGTGATCCCAGTCTGCTTCAAGTTGTACTACTTTCTGGTTGAGGCCCTGTATCTCCTCCCTCAGTGCGTGCAGTTCGGCTGTTATGGAGGTACGTAGCTCCGTGTTCGCCGCCCTCAGATCTGCCCTCGTGGGTAATTG